GAATGAGATATCCACATCTTGTCATCTTTAAGTCCAACACAAATTTCAATTCTCAATTAGGCTTCCAAATAGAATTATAACTAGAATTTGTCAAATAGACTTCGAATAAGATTCCAAAATAGTATTTCAAATAAAATTCTTCTTAAGTCGACTTTAATTAAAATTCTCAATTATCTTTCAAATAGAATTCGGACCACATACAATTTCTAACACCCCTGTTTTTAGGGTGCATTTACAATTTTTTATTTTGTATTTTATTAAATAACAATTTTAGGGTGTATTTACATACTCTATTTTATTTATTGATACAAAGAATACATTTTGAACGAAAAAATAGAAATATTGATAAATTTGTCTTCATAAATAGCTAAACGACCAAAGTATCCTACTTACAAATAATAAATTACACTTTTACTGAAAAATTAGAAATACTGACAAATTTGTCTTCATAAATAGCTTATAAAATCTATTCTCTGTTATAATTAAGTACTTATTTATTTACAACTCCATGAACAACTTTATAAAATAACTATCTCATTAAAAACTAGTTTGTGAAACTTAGCTGGGACAAAAATATTGAACAAAGAAAAAAATACAAAAAATTCGTGTAATAAAACGTTGTCTCGTTAAAATCTGGTCAAGAGAATTCAATGGGACAAAATTTGAGCGAAGAAAAAAAATAGTATAACTACTCCCCTAATTTTAATTAATGAAAATCATTGTATCAAGCCATCCATATCTTACACGTCAATATCTTCAATATCATAGTTTCAGTGAAATATGTTTCATGTTGTCTTGTTACAGCCTAAAGTAATATCATCTTCATACAAAATATTTATAATTTTTTGTTCAATTTTAGTTAGTATGATAATCCTTTGAAAAATAGATTTGTTTTTGCCTTCTGTGGGAGTCTTGTATACATTTTATAGTATACAATACTAAAATCATAAAGCTATACCAAATGTAAATATCCTTTAAGATATGGACATTCATTATATACAAAGAACATGTAATGCCCAGAAAATTAAAAATAAAAGCTATTTGCTATATATAATATATTTTATTATTTTGAAAAAAAAAAGTGACTAAAATGAAATAAGTTTAAATTCCTATTCTTTTATTTGGGTCTAATAATTAGATTTTCATAGAACAAGATTTTATATATCAATATTGGGCTTATTCAATATATCATATTAAATCATTAATTTTAGGTTCGGGAAAAAGTTAATTTGGATAAGATATCGCAGTTCTAAGAATAGA